CACTATTGAGTTATGCATGGGTGCGATCAGTAGCAAGGATTTCTGCTTGTTATTTGAAATTAACAGCTTCTTTTTCTGATTTTTGATAACTCAGTGTTGAGAAATATTTTATCTTCATATTTATAAAAATAAGTGAAAAGACTTTTACAGCCCCGTCGCAATTTAATCAAAATTGAAAGTAGCACCAATTTGAGTTTTCAATAAAACAATAAATATGTATGTAAACCGTTAATGAAAAAGGCACAAAGATGTATGCTATTTTTATTGATCTCACAAAAGCATTTGACTTGTCAAATAGAAAAATACTGCTGCAAAAAATTATAAATCAAAAGAAATTGTCCAAAACGGAATTGAGTTTACTGGCCGAATTTTTAGACTTAGATTTTATTAGTATTAATGATGGAATATCTCAATCTGAGCCTTTTGTTGAGTCAAATGGATTCAAGCAAGGAATGAATTCGAGTCCCCTCCTCTTTAACATATATATCTATGATATTGTGAAAATATTTCAAGCAATCGAAGGAGTAGACTTTTATTTCTATGCAGATGACATGGTGTTTATTAGTAACGATGTTAAGAAAATTGAAGCAGTCATGAACAAATTTGTAGAATATGCTAAAGAAAACTATTTGAAACCTAACTATTCAAAAACAAAAATGATGAAATTCACAACAGGAGGAAAGGGGAAATATGCAAAGGACGATAAAATAGTGATTGACGGCCATGAAATAGAATATGTAAAAAACTTCCCATACTTAGGAATTTACTTCCAAAGATCAGGTAGAGATTTCACTGAACATATTGCACGGAGAAAGGAAAATGCGCTAACTGCGATGAATATGTATGGAGATTTGAGAAAATTGTCTATTGATTGTGCGAAAAAATTGTTTAATTTGAAATTTGCCCCGATGGCCTCTTACGGTATTGAAATTATTTGGCGACATCTCAGTGAAAAAGATTTTGAAGAACTAGAAAAAGTGAAATCTCGATATTTTAAGATAGTAATGGGAGTTTCAAAATACAACAAAAACACCTATGTGTACAAATTAGTCGATGAGAAATTGTTTGTTACCGATTTGAAAGAAAAATACGATCTCCCGGAGACGGGTAATTATGTCAAGTTCCTTGAGAGCTATAATTCTGAACATGAAAATAGGTTTAATGTGAAATTCAATGACACGCCGGCAATGAGAAATGATGTATGGAAACAACCCTTGTTTGATAAAAGACATGTGTTTTGTCGCTTTGCCATGCACGGCTTTCATAATCAAATCTGTAGCAATAGTTCCGAGCGCCAACAGTGTTTCGAGGAAAGTGATTCATGCGTGTGTTTGCTATGCGGTGAGAAATGCACCCAATATCATCTGGCCGAGTGTAAACACCGAGTGCTTAGCATTAATGACTATTCTAAAAATAAGTGAAAAACTTTGGAAACCCTGTCGCGCAAACTGATAAAATAAATTGTGAATCTTAATTTTAACCTTCTAAGATGTAAGTTGAAAGTTGTACTCAATTGAGTTTTCAATAAAGACCATACATATGTATGTATTTTCATGTTCTTTTAAATCATACGGAGAAAATGTTGCTGGGCTCCAAGTTTCACTGAATTAAATATCATCTCATTTCGCTTCATCTGATAAAAGAGGTCCACGTATTTTTTTCTCCAAACCAATCTCCGGAGATAGGAAAGGAAGGACCTGAATTAATTTTTTTCCCTCTGCCTTCAACCCAATAGCAGAAACGATACCTTTTGAGGAGGAGATCCGCAGTGACCACTTTTTATTAAGTTACTGATAAATGTATCTCAAGACGCGAGGCACGTTTTAGAGGTTTTTTGGGTGGCAGCGAGAACGTCAAAAGGAGTCGAGGGCTGCGGTTTCAATATATAAAATCAGCGAGACACGGAGCTACGGTGTTTCATCTGTGTTGAGAAGAAGCTCCTTCACCACAAGGAAGAGAGGCAGCAGCTAAGACGACGGATGGATGGGAGTTTGACTGAGGCATGTAATTTGCCTTCGGGATCGGAAACTTTGGGGGTTGGTTGGAAATCGAGCCGGGCGCGCGCAGCATATCGAACGCGAACATTAATTACTCACAGCCTGATTTACTCTCTCTCGACGAAGCTGTGTGTCTTCTTCCTCCACGACCAAACTTGTTTAGCGGCAGTCTTTATGCTCTCAACGCCGGCAGACTTAATAATGCGCCCCGAGTTAATATAAAACGCACTCACTCGCTCTCCCTCGCTCACTGTATATTTATAGGCGTTTATTCATATTTCCTCCCTGGCACATTGTGATATCGGCCTCCGTCACACTCGCTGATCCGGCTTTTGAATTAGCTGCGGAGAAAATCTGATACCGAGGAAAGTCGAGGAGGGAAATTGTTTTTGAGATTGTTGCCAAACAGGGAGGATTCAAAGTTTTGCTTCGAAATAATTGATTTTCCATGTCATTTGGGACCGAAAGTTTTTGACACAGCAGGTGGAGGAATCTCTTGTCTCAAATTGGCTATGGTTGGTGAAAAAGACTGAAGTGGCCCAGAAACGGGTTATGCGGGGCTTGGCTTTGGAGAATACGACGGAATTAAATTTTCGGTACAAAACCAGAGAGAGAATAAACGGTGAAGGGGGAAAAGAAAGGGAAGAAAGAAAGAGTTTTTGCTTGCTTATGCTTCGCTCTCGGTTTCATTCCCTCTATTTATACACATTTAATATCTCGGGGGAAATGAATACGCCGGAAAAAGCGGCAACGCGAGCGTTGCAGAGAAAGAAAGAAAAACAACACGCAAAATACAGATCTGAGGGAGGCGAACTTCATGGAAAATCTGCAACATGGACAAAGCCCACGCTCTCCGTCAGAGTCTGCGCAGTGATCCGTCATTAAACACATATTAACCCAATTATGATTTCTGTAAGAGGATTACAGCGCCGGCGGAGGAGTGATTCCAAAAGGTAATTCCATCGCCATTGTGCTCGAGGCGCAATTCTTCACTCTGGCAAAAGAGGTTCTTTTGAATGCTGCTGCTGGTGCAAACGTCTTTGCCGTACTTTATTTTTCATCCTCTTTGAACTGATTTGTCAATAGAATTTGAAACAAAAGGCGAAATGTGAAAGGTTTTTAAGCACCGAAATGGATTTTAATATTCTTATAAAGATTCACATCATCCGGTTTTACTTTTTGGATGTGAAAAACTGTTTTTCTTGGATTCTGCCATTTAGCTTTCTCAAATTTCTTTCTTGATAGAGATAATTAAGTACTGAAATTTTAGTACGACTTGATGGTTGTGAGCTTCAGTTTGCGGGGCAAATTAAATATTATCAACATTCACTGACGTCAAAAAATTCCAGTCGGGGATATAATGTTGCAAAATCAATACGGAACGCAAATGCCAATACGCTGACAAATTGGTGGCTGTCTGTGTTTATTTGGACGATGGTGCTCGCAGAGTGGCGACATGTGCAGTCGACGGCGGCAAACAAAATTGGACTCCGCGGAGAGACGAAATTTAATTACTTCCTGAAAAAATACACACACAAAAAACTGCACTGTGTTGATGTTCAGCTCTCGTTACGTTTCAGACCGCTCGCGTGTTGCTGTTCATTTGTCCTCCCGTCATCATCAGCACCTTTGGTGAAAAAATATTCGAGGGCCGCTGAAGGGCGGAGTGTTGTTTTTGGAAATTTACACCCGGGATTAAAATTAACGCTCGGCTGATAAGTGTTTCAAAACAATCCGCAGTGTCCGGTTCACCCCATTTTTTTTAACCGCCGCATCTTTTCCAGCAGCGAGACTTTTATCTATCAATCGTGGAGCTCTGCGAGTGACACTCAACAACGAGAACGGCGAGCAGGGCGGACTAATTGGATTGCGGCCCCTTCGACATCATAAAACTGGTGTGCGACCGCTCTCATCTATATTGTGCGGTTTCGCCGGCGCCGTCGGTTTGGTGAGTTTAACTTTTGAATCGTGCGTGGTCGCAAATAACTGGCGACGTAAGGTAGGCCAACGGGGGGTTTACTTTACCGAAATTTGCAAATGAACTGGCACTTTGCAGTTTTATTGTTTAATTAGCCTAAATCCATGCAATGAAACTAATTGGTTGCGGTCGAATATTCATGTGCTAACTTAAACAGTTAAAATAAGCAGATAAATTCAAATATCAATATAATTTTGGGATTGATAACATTTTGACACTTGTGTGAATGTTTAAAACATACAAAATTAATTAAATTTAATCATTCATTGATGTAATAATATGCTAAATCGAACAAAATATCGGCTGAATTAACCAAATAAAAAATTTTATTCGTATTGCATCATGAAAATAAATTGCAACATCAGATATTATGAAAGACTTCTCAGCTGTCTCATTAATACAGGAGATGTATGTCGGGTTAAAATTTATTTCAACAAGCAAAAATAGTGTCCCAGCTTGATTATTTGCATCCCACTCAAGTGTCATTCCAACGAAGAGCACAAAAGAATCGCATTCAAAAGCGGCCCTTCAGTGTGCTCCAATAATTACACCGGTGTTATCATGTGCAAAGGAAAAACATACATTCACAATGAGTGATGAGCCAGCCTCCCGTTCCATTGGAATGAAACTGTTGGCTGCTCTCGTCAGTCAAAGGGAAAAATATTTGACTTTCTATACTTCGCTATACATACATGAAAAGGCCGACTATGAATATGCAGCTTCCATTTAATAATTTACAAAATTGAAAAAAAGTATATCGCAATGGTTATCAGGTCGATTGAATAAAAATTTAAATTTCCGCGTATTACATTCGACAGAGTGTATTATTTTTATATATGTTTCAATAAACCGCAAGAATATTATCGTTTAAATATGCGTAATTTCACGTAAATCTATTTTCATTTAATCAAACGAGTTTTAGTTCCAGATGAAACAAGAAATTCATTGAAGCCATTTTTATTTTTCGAGGAAACAAAAGTCCGATTTAAAATTTTAATTAAATTTCAGAGTAATAAGGTACTCACCAGGGCACTGCTCTGGAGACTCATCAGACCCATCGCCGCAATCATCCTCACCCTCGCAGGTCCAGGAAAAGGGGATGCAGCGACCGTTGTTGCATCGAAATTGACGTAGAGAGCATGCGCCTGGAAAACAAAAAGAACAATTGTTAGTAAAAATTTCAAATTTTATATAGACATTAAAAATCTATGAACCGAGCCTCACTGCGGCGGATGGGGTCTTTTTTATCTAGGAAGTAGCAAAATTCTTTCTAGTGGTGGTGCAATTTTTTCCAACAATCCATTTTTCTCAAACAAATTGCTTTCAAAAATTGAATGTATTACAATGTATTTGTAACAATGTGGACTTAACAACAACAATTATGAAATCTTCTATCAGATAAATATTTTAAAGTTAAGAAAAGTCTCTGATTTATAAGGCAATTTAACTCTTGATTTGATGAAATTTAAAAAAAAAATACCTAACTATTTATTGCAATTATTAAGTGCTGATGTTGCCATTTTCAATTATTGTTACTTTTCAAGCCTGCACTGTTAAAAGTAAAAATCAACAATTTTATGCGTTAAAATTACGAAACACCCCTACAATTGCATAAACAAAGTTTTATTAATATTTAATTTTGACATGCAAGACATAAAACAATTTAAATAAAAAAGACTTAATAGTTTGAAAACCCACCTTTGGTGAAAAAAACTTCTTTGTAGGAGAAAAATAATCAATTAAATAATTAAATAATATAATTTAATGCGAGATGAGCACTTCATGTTTTTGTCAATTTATGCGACCGGTTCCATTGCGATTCCCCTGGTCAATCAATTATTCCCAGCGGCCCCTACGAGAGTCGCTCTTTGATTCCCTGTTTGTGCAAATGCGTGAGTGTGCCAAAGAAGATAAGCGTTAATGCGATTGATCATAGCTCTGCGTTTTTGCTCTATTTCCAATCAGGCCCCCGCAGCGAGCGAGCGGACGCAGCGAATTCCTTTCCGCCCCGCAGCATCGATGAGTCCATCAGTCACAAATGGAGAGATAACTCCTCTCTCACACCCCCTCGAGCTCGCTAACTAACTTGGAGAGCAGCACAATTCTGGCTGCGATTTAATATAATAAATCTCCGAGCTGCGCACTTTCGCAGAGATAAACGTTAAAAATGGCACGCGTCGACGAGGGCGAATTTTTTCAGCGCCACCTCCCAATCGATAAAATAACTTTTTCATTGGGGATATAAATTTTTTTATTCATCTGTATGCCTTTGCTGTGTTTTATACGTCTGGCGGCCGGAGCAAATTGGGAACATGTCAAAGCCAAATATTTGTCCTGCCACATTGTTCAGTGCTACACCATATATGTGCGCAGTGCACACACGAATTCTTTTTACAGCAGCAAATTCATCAAATTGACTCCGCGGTTCTAATACCAGAACGTCACCGGGCGAGCTCTTCAGTTCGCTTTTTCTGCCCGGGGCAGGGCAATTTGCCACGAAAAAACTTCAAAGGCAAAATTCTACGCCAGCGTGTTTGTCGTTTGTGTAGAAAAAATTATTTTCCGGCACCGCAGGCGCGGCTTAAAAATGAAACCGCTCGGAAAAATTATCGCCTCCGCAATGGGAAATTGCAAGTTTTTTTTTATATCATATAAGAATTTATTTTTATTTTGTCGCGTGCGTTAGATTAAATACAAAGCAAGCATTGAAAATGGCAAATCCACTCGGCGGTCTCTCCGCAAAACAGTAAATTTAAAAAGCGGCCTCTGAACAAAATATAAAAAAGGGACGTGAAACCACTCTGCGGCTCTTCTTTTAGTTCCTTCTGTTTGTTTGTTCCGCGAGTAACTCTGCCGCCACTGCGACGACCATTTTTTATTCCTTTTCCAATTAGTTTCTTTTTCCCTTCTAATGCGAAAGTTGGATGAGGTGTTGCCCCTCGCGAGAGAAATAAATGCAAATGAAGCCAGTCGGAGGGCAATTCCCTGCCTGACAGGCAGGGCAGCGCCGCCGCAGACAGGTCGCAAATTTTCCAAGGAAAGTAATCTACTTGGATTTTATAGAAGAGCCGGAGGAAATGGGAAAACTCGGCTCGTTTTCTGCTGCACTTTTCTTTTAGTCTTTCCCTGCGGCACGCAGCAATCAATACGAGCGACAATCGCGACCGCCAGCCTTTGGCGCGCAGCATTGTTTTTCCATCTGCACGGCGGCCGGAAAATCCTATACAGGGGTCGGGGTAAAAGAACGGAGCAACACCCCAGCAGCCCATGCGACAATTTATTGTGCCGTAACATCTTGGAGGGTTTTATTTATACCAAATGCGTTTTCGGCCGCGAGCAGTAAAAATGACAAAAGTTGTTATTGCTCCCTAGTTTATTATTACATATCGCGATGTTTGAATTTTCTGTCTGGGCTTTTTAATTCAATTGCACCACTTTAAAAATTTAAACAAAGATCCAGGCAATACTTATTGGAAAGGATTTTTTTTTTAAATTTGCAAATTAAAAAAAAAAGTTTTTCAATTAAAATTTGGAATTTTAATTTGTTTTCTCGGTATTAATTTTCTCGCTCACTTTCTGATTCCACTTGAAATATTTCTTTTGCTACATTTTTTTTTTTAATTTTTGTTGTAAATTGACGAGTGAGTCCAGTTCATTTCAATGAGACTTGAAATTCTGTACAATTTTTCCTTTATTAAGTAAGCTTCAAAAGGGTATTATAATATTATTTTGCGGCCGTATACGAGAAATCTTTTGGATAAAGGACGTGGCGAGCGGCAAACGTGAAGGGTCTGCACAGTGGAATTTCCACGCTGGGGCTATTTCATACTTCATCATAAAATGGTCACTTTTCTCCCGTCTCGAAAGGGCGGCCGGCTGACTTCCCTACATTGTCGAGACTCACCCTCGCATGAAAAAGAATATATAGAGGCGGTCGAGGGTTGGAGAAGAATTATTTGCGCTATCTTATGACCTCAGAGAATAAATCTCTCGGCCATTGGACGAGCAGCAGGAAATGCACTAATGCGAAAAGAAACAAAATCCGCCGCTATTCCAGTCCCTCTCCAGCACCGGGAAAAGCCTCAGTAAATTACATTAAAACGGCGAGTCTTATGCGCAGGATTCGAATTTCTCTGTCGCTGACTGATCGTGAGTGGGAATTAATTAGATTCCTGCATTTAAGCTTAATGGCTCAAAATCGAATGCGTTTAAACAACCCTCTATACGCGAGGAGCAAATTGCTTTCTGATGCGCGAAAAGCAACACGCAAAGCGCCTCGCTCGAAATTAATGGCAGATTGTTTGCGAATCGGAATTTCATTAAAATTCTTCCCGGCTAAGGTATTCGGACAAAAGTTTCACAGAGAGCAGCAGATTAGAGAGGAGCCTTCGGAATTGATGTCAGCAGAGCCCGACGAGAAGCATCTCCAATTGATCTCGTCTGGGCACAGACCGTGTAAATAGTACACCAAACACAATATACATCCATTGTCCTTGGCAGCACTGATTGATTATTTTCCATCGGCACCTCTGCTGATTCTGGTGATACAAATGGCCAGATGCACTCTCCAGGAAGAATCGAATCCGTTTTCCCCGGCAGCACCACTTTATATAAGAAAAGAAACGGCATTTTCTCTCGGGTGCCGATATTTGTTTGCCGGTGCTGTCTATCGATTCGGATGAAAAAGAAGTTTAATTGGCTCTTGAGAGGCGCCGGGATTTATCTCACGTGTCCTGCAGCAACGTGCGCTCAGCCTATTTATCATCAGGCAGCATCTCTTTAATAAGGTTGCCGCCCTCGAGGCGCACGAAAGGGTAGTTTCGTCATTAACTTTTATGATGGAGCGAGGCTCCTCGGCAGAGAATGGAAAAATTCGTCCATTCTTAAAATGAACGATTATTATGCACGGAATGAGGGCCCTAATTTGCAATTACTACAAAGAGGAGTTGGACTTTTATTCCTTCAATTCTGACAGAGTGCCCAATTAAAAGTTGGAAAAACGACCTTTGTCTCAAACTTATGGTGATATTTGCCTGTGGGAGTGTAAACAAAATCTAAAAGAATGAACACAACCTTTAGCCAGCTTATAAAAGCTTACAGATTTTTTAAAAATCTATTTCTGTTGATCGAGAACTTAAAGCAAAATCAATAAAAAGTAACGGTAGTTTTTTTATGATTTATAAAAAAAAAAATGAAAACGTGAGAATTAATTTGGCCTAAAACGCAATTCAGGTTGAATCCCACGCCTAACTAATGTTTGCATGTTAGTCCTGGGCGGTTAAAATAACAAACTGAACCATTTAACATACCTCTGCACAAACAAATTAAATTATTACTCAGTCATCCATTCGGAGCTCACCAAAAGATTTATACATATTAAGCAGCCTCACTCAGACACAAAACTTTGAGCTAAGCAAGATAAAGCAGCTTTGCACCTTGGAGCGCCGGGCACAAAAAGAGAAGAACGCTTTGTACACGCCGAGCCAGCGGCGGATAATTTATTCCAGGAGGATGCAGGGCAGGAGAAAAAGGATGCGCGCACGCCTCAAGTTGCACGCCGGCGGAACTCGGTCGGGTGAGTTGGGAAAGAAAAATAATAAAGCGCCGGTGCGAGGAAATTCATTTCAAATGCACCAGCCGACAATGGTAGAGAACGCAGGGACAAGGCTCTGAGAAGAAAGCGCGCGAGTTATTTGCATGCCCACTCTCACCCTTCCTCCCTCGCTAGTTGCAGAGAGATATTATTTTTGAACGCTTCGGGGGTTGCATGCAAAAAAGGTTCTTTCTCTCGCAAAGGGATTGTGAAAAGCGATGAGGAAATAACAATCGAAATAAATTTCGCAACGCAACGATTGTACGAGCAAAAAGAGCCTCTCTGCCTAATACAATTTGTCAAATAAATATTCCCTGGTGCAGCCGCGCCGCGTTATTATGCCGGCAGCGTGAATGTGTTTTCCACTTTCCGTCCATATATACACAGTGTGGAATTGCACTCGCAATTGCTGCGAAAGAGAAGGAACGGCGGGCGAACGTCCCTTGTGTTTTCACTCTTTTAGCCTTAACTAAATTTCGCGCGACGCTCTTCTGGGAGACAAAACTTCTTGTAAAACTGTTTCCGCTGCTTGCGAAACTTGTTAAGAGAACC